CTCCGACACGAGTTACTCCACCATCACGACTTTGGAGGCGGAGTACGATGAAAAGGCGTTAGACAATTAAGGTGCAGAGGACAGTGGCGCAGAGATGAAAAAAAAATGAGAAACGGCCAGAACCCGAGAAATGGACCCCTTCTTTGCCCGTTGATTTCCGCATTGATGCGACTCTCATCGGTGCTGCCCTCTTCAACGCTAATGCTCTCTCTGCTGAACGACTAGAGCCAGACTGCGAAGAACCCTTCGGTGGGTGTAAAGAGGCACGAACGGCGGCGATACGGCCTTGCTAGGTCGCTGTAGCACATTTTTCGCTGCAAATTGCGCAACACCTTCAGATTGTGCGCCTGGTTTTCGGCTAGGTGAATTTCCCTTTTCAATTTTACTTCTGACTTTATTATGAAATCCTCCCAAGATAAAACTTCTAATTGATTCTTTTCGACGTGCTCCTATGAGAACTGATTCGCACTTCTATTTTTTCATTATTCATTGATTAACAACTGGAACGACTCGAAAACTCACCTGTCGTGATAGAGAACTTCTTCCATTGCTGCCTTTATAGTTTTCTCATTCAAGTTCAGTTTTAACACAACCTAAATAATTTGGTGATAATGGAAAAAAGTAGAATGATGTAAAAGCAATTTGATTTCAAGTTTCTTGGCTTATACACAATTTATGAGCACTGAAATATTTGAAGAACACCGCATCTTAGCGCACCTTTCCTACTCCTCGTTTCTCGGCGTTTCGTCCATTTCGAAACTGATCGGCAAATATTGGGATGACCACAACCGGTACTGCTCTCAACAGCGCCTCCATCAGACCATTTATGCCACCATGCGTTACGAATAATCGCAGTCTTGGATGCCCTGAACAAATCCTTTTTCTCATGTTCAGCGGCGATTTCTACTCATATTCACAGCATTTTTATGGTCACATCAAAGTCTCTGTTGATTCCTGAAAGTCTGTTGGAATAATATTACCCGTACAAACCTAAAATGTCGCTCTGCGGCAGCCACTCGATCAGGTCACAATTACTAACGTCCTTCAAGAAGGCCTGGGTTGTAGTGTCATCTGTAAAAAAAATCTGCTATATTTAATCGGCTAAGTGTGTCTGTTGGTGTGTGTGTGTGTGTGTGTGTGTCTGACCGGAAATTCATAGCTCGGGCACCAGTGTCGTCAGGAGTTGGTTTCAAGATATGATATAGGGGGTGGGACGGGAACATATTTGGTGGGGTAAGAAAGTGATAACAACTGATAAGGGCTGATAAGAAGGCGCTAGAACGCAAGTGTCACGAAATTCATAGTGCGCAAGGCAGCAGTCATCAAGGAGTTGTTTTTGGGGAGATGTGGGTTAGGTTGGAACATATTCGATGAGCGAGTCAGAAAGTGGGATAATAAGAAAACTTGACGGAGGAGCTGGATAAGGAGCGTGTTGAGGATGGGGCATGACCATAAAGTTCTAGTCTGATGCAAGAATAAGAAACATCTCATTCTTTGCGATGTCGGTCACTGTAGTAATCAAATCGACGTGATCTGTCGCGAGATTCTCATGATTAGGTTGTGTGTCTGGAGTGACGATCAGTCGGTGGGATTTCCATCTCGATCAGCGGGTATAGGAATTGCGATCACGTGAGCCGAGGCACCAGTCGAGATGAATGTAGAAGATTTAAGCGCTGGAGGGTGGATAATAAGCAGGTTATTTTTAATTTTTGTCACGGCGTGTATCGGTCACTTTTAAAGTTTGATTAGTTCTAAGAAAGATGATGGAGCGTTTATTGGTATTTGACGAGACTATGAGAATTAGTGATTTATGCAGCATTTGCTCACCCTAGAATGAAGACGAATTATCGGATAGTACTCGAATTTGACTGAGCCGTACATTCGACGATGCGCGGCGTTTAGCGAGCGGGAGCCAGTACGTGGTATGCCTTTAAATTAGTGCATGTTCTTTTAGGAAAAATTAAAGGAATACTGTTTCAGGTAGTGTTCGCACTGGAAAGAATGCTGTGTTCTTTTGTATGCCGCCTACTTCTTGATAGCGTCTTTGAGGGCATACTAGTACATTGTGTTGCGCGTTTTGTTTTGTTATTTTGTTGTTCTCGATTTTTTTTTTTGAGATCAAATCTTTTTGCGCTATTGATCTGTTACGTCATAGGTTAGATGAAGACATAAACGAAGCCATCTGAGCTTGGATCTCAGGAGACCATTTTACCAAGAACCCTGTATAAATCTGGGCGTTCACTCCTCTTAGTATCGCCAGCAAATATAAAAACGAACAAGCGCATCACTGCCTTTGGGATACGTCTCACCCTGGTTTCCCATTTGAAATTGCATTGGCATCGACGGAACAGGGCCTTTCCCGTCACCTTGCCGCGGCTCATAGTAAATGAATAGCTAGTTTTTCCATCGGATGAGTTGAGAGCCAACAAAAGAAACTATAGGGTGGCCACAAATTACGGTAACAAGAGGCGCGGCATGCATGTTTAAACTAAACCTAGATAACTGAGACAATAACATGTAGCGCATCAGAAAAACTCTTAAGTTGTGGGCCACAAATTCAGAGAGGCCCAAATTCTAACGTCTTGGAATTTGGGCCTTTCTGTGCTTACCACTAATGTGGATTCGCCGTGTACCACTAACGCGACGCGGTGAGTGGGTTGCCCGGTCTACTTCGCTCCTTTGTCAATGCAGGCCATTTTGGAAATTACTTTGTTCCTGTTTTTTAGCCTTCAATTGATATGGTTGTATTTCCCAATTGTCCTTCCTTTCCCTTCCTTCCTTTTTTCCTTCCTCTTTCCTTTCCTTATAATTTTTCTATGATCACCTCATCTTGTCACCGTAATTTGTGGCCACCCTGTAATTTAAGGAGAGATTGCAAGTCATGGTGATATCCTGTTGAAGTTTTAGCTCCAGACGAAACGTGAGCAAGCTTATTGAATTACCATTACTCTGCGTAAACTTGATAGCTCATCAGGATTCGAACTAGCTGAGATGAGATGTAAAACCGTAGTGGAAACTACGATTGAGCTCAGATAATTTTTCCAGGAAAGAAAATCTTGAACTGAAATTACGCTTAAGGTATCACATAGTACAGTTATTTCACAGAAATGCAAGCAAAATGCGAACGGCTAGACATGCAGACACAGACAGATGCTGGCCCTGGGTGGCTCAGGTTTGCACTTGTCAGAAAATAAGATGAAGGGCTCAATGCAAAACTTGAGGTACCTCGAAGAAAAGTTTGTGGCCGTACGGTCCAAGTGGAGTGTATGAGTCACAGGATTCATGAGATGTTGTATAGGCGAGGAGTGCAGGCGAGGACACTACACTGATGCAATTTAGAGATCCGATTTCGTGTAGTTCCTTAGAACGCTACGACACACTTGCACGGACGCGTGCTTTACTGAATACAGTACATTCTACACTACAAATGCTGCGCGAGCGCAAAACTATCACCAGCGGCTGGGAACTGCCACAACACCACCTCCCGTAGTGGGCCGCCATAGCTAACGTCAAGCGGCGACAGCAAACAGTACTCCCAGGACTATGCTGTTTCGGAATAACAGCGTGGTGTCATATAGGTGGGTGCGTAACAAGGCAAAGGGTTTTCGCAAAGGCATTGTTTGTCTTAAAGGCGAAGGTCGGGATTGAGTTGACCATACACACCCTTTCGGTCCTGCCTGTACTTGCTACGCGACAGTCGTGACGTAGGGTTCGCACACGGCAAAACAAGAACGGGCCCTTGCGGAAACGGTGCAGTAATAAGGCCCCAGGCATGTACTATGCGCTATCGCCGCCTGGCCCCGCTACGACCGCCCACCTTGGGATGTGGTGCATGGCTGGCATAACGTGTGAAATCAGCTAGGTTGATTGCCGTATCAACCGATAGAACGACTGATATCTTCAGAAAACTTGTTTGTACGTGCCTCTTCCCCAAGCCAGCCTCCTTCACTGCTAGTGGGAAAGAGGGTTTTGTTAACGGCCTTGTCGACGGTTTTTCTCAGTTTTTTCTCCACTGTCGTTCCACTTCGCATCTCTATACTCAGTTTCAATCGCCATAATACCCTTATTGAGCCCGGACTTTTGCCTTAAACTCAACGCTTGGGTTTTTGAAGGAATCCTTCTAGGAAAAGCTAGGAAAGATCCATGATTCTATCTCATCTTCAAATAATCACCGGCTGAGACCATCGCTCCCGATACCCGAAAAGCCACAAAAATTTCATTGTTTTCGTAAAGAACACGAATGGGACACGCTTCGCTATTAAATTCTCAAAACAGAATCTGTTAATCAAATGTCTGGCGGCAGGATCGCTTCCTCGTTCACCGAGTACTGCCTGTTAGAAGTCTCTGAGACTTGACTATTAACAACTGACACTCACACCCTTCTATGTACTATTCCTATCTTGTCCTACAATCCATCCATTCTACCTATTGATTTTTAGTCCATTCTAATATCAAACTCGAATGCCTTCGAGCCGGATAATCTTTTCATTTGCGCGTCGCCATCTAATGTACAGTACCGTGTGCAGTGAAGTATTCGTTTTCACTTTTTTAAACGTAACTCCCTCAAAACTCAAGCTTTTGTTCCGATTTTTTGTAGGTGAGAACACATCACTCTACCTGATAAGGAAGCAAATCTTCAGTTGTCTAGGTGGCTTCTATACTAATTTAGAAATTTTTAATTTTTTTCGGTCCAATACCATATTACTTGTTCGAAATTCAATCTATCTAAAATTCAAAAATAATAACAAAATGACTTATATAATAACAGACGTAACAACTACAACATCAGCACTTTGTCGCAGAACCGTTTTCATCTACGACGGCTTGACACCGGCGAAGCACGGAATTGGGTTTTTTCTTGGTAGAGGTTCCCCTACGCGATCTTCAGTGGGACGGACTTTTCGAACTCGTTGTGAGCTTTTGGGCCCTTCAGCTTTATCAAGTATTCAAGTATGGGGACTGCGATGGCATGGCAGTGGAGGAACATTGTTGTTGCGGAACCATTGCGAGAGCGGCTTTGATTTTGCGCTTGGGGTCGGAAAATGAAACACTACGGGCGACACTGCGAGCATGCGGCCAGATAGCAGTCATCCATATGTTGAGGCGCGTTTTGGAATCCATTTCAGCCTCGGTCCGATGAAGGTGATCAACCCCTATGCCACAGAAGCTGCCATGCAGTATCACCGCACCCCCTGCATTCGTCACGTCAGCACATGGAACCTCGGATGATATCTGGTACCAACGGGAAGTCGCAAAAACTTGACTTCTTTCGTGCTAAACAGCAAAAATTTCGATTCGTTGCTCTAGATGGCTTTTTGTCACTCCTTAATATGTAGTTCGTTTCTTGTGGGCATGAGCCTAA